TCACCAAGTTCCAGTGATAAGGTGCAGATCCTGTTGCCATCATTGTGCTCGTGTAGTGGGTTTCTCTTGTTTTCTGTACTTCTGTATACAAGAAGGAAAACACCTCATACGAGTGAAGATGTTGATCATTGATCCTAATCTCTTGAAAGTCTCATTGCTTTTATTTCCTTATTCTATTAGCCCACTTTCTTCTCTGATGATTGGCTGAGTGAAGTGCTCTTTTTAGAAATAGTGCCCGTGTACCTAGGCCAGGCAAGTAGTAAGAAACACATTTTCTTTTTTTATATTTTATTTATTATTTTTATTTTATGTGTATGTGTGTGCTGCCTGCATGCAGGTTAAGTGCACTGGTGTCGTGCAATGCCTGCGGAGGTCAGAAGAGTCTGTCGGATCCCCTGGGACTGGAGTTATGGACAGTTGTTAGCTGCCATGGGGGTGCTGGGATTCAAACCTGGGTCTTGTGCAAGAACAACCAGTGTTCTTAGCCGCTGAGCCATCTCTCCAGCCCCAGAAACACACATTTTCTATTCATCTCCTTGTATTCTGGGAGAGAACTGGGACTGGGAGGAAGCTGGCATTTAAACATATGCTACATACTGGTCACTGTTACTCCACTATGTGGAAAAGCTGGTTAACAAACCTGTAAAAGAATCCCATAGAATGGCTCTGCTATGGCGGGTCACCACCCTCTCTTCAGCCCTGTTCTTCAACTTCCCTCATTCTCTGTACACACCCTCGATGGAGCCCAGCACCCAGAGGTGCTCAGCACAAACACACACCCAGGAAATGCCATTTCCACACTGAGAAATCAGATGAAGGAGCAGACCTCCTGAGGCTGCCTGAGGCCACCATCATCCAAGTCCCATCAGGCCTCCTCTTGCTTCTTCTTTAAGTAGTCGGCTACAGCCTCTAATAATTACCCTGGAGAGAAGGATAAATACACCCTCAGAATAAGCAAATCTCTACTTTCCATGACTGTAAAAGGTTGTCTCTCAAGCAAGGGACTTCTCAGCATCTGAATAAGAGGCCTCAGAGGGGAGAAGCGTAAGGAATCTACCAGATGGGGTTCAAAGCCTGGATTTGCTGCTTGTCAGATGAATAACATTAGATAAGTTAATTACTCTCTCCATATTGATTTTCTCATCAAGGAAATGGAGGTAAGAGCTGGGCATAGTGGTACATGCTCATAATTCCAACACTTACCCATGAAGCAGAGACAGGAAGATCAGGAATTTGAGGCTAACCTGGTCTACTTGACAAGACTCTGATTCAAATCAAAAAGGAAGGAAAGAAGAATGGAAGGGAGGGAGGGAGGGAGGGAGGGAAGGAGGGAAGGAAGGGGCAAGGGAGAAAGAGAGGGGAGGGAGAAGGGAAGGAGGGAGGGAGGAAGGAAAAGCAGTCTGGTACTCCACAGGCTGCCCAGGCATTGAATGATTCTGGGGATCTGGCCCATTGCAAACTCAAACCTGCCATCATAGTCACCACCTATGTCCTCTTAGCCCCATGGAAAATGTCACTCTGGCCATGGAATGCTTAGATTCCCTTTGCTTCTCTTCCTCCCTGGCTTTGCATTTCATTGGAGACCTGGCCTTGGCCCCTCACATTCCTGAGCTATCAGAAAGTCCTCAGCCTGCCTCTTGCCTCCAAGGATGAATGAGAACTGTTCTCAGGGTTAACATTCTTTTCCCAATTGATGAAGCATCAACATCTTCCCCACACAGGAAGAAAGAAGCAACAACGTTCAGACCAACCTCAGAGAATAGCAGTTTATACTTTAAATTGAGCTCGAAAAAGAAAATGTGTGTTTCATTTCCTTAAAGCAACCCAAATACACTGCTGTCTTGTGTACATTTCCTTGTGAGATACAAAACTGTAGAAACCTAGTATTCTTTTGAGAGTGTTATTGTCCAACTGGGACATCCCTGGGTCAAATCTTGCTTGGTTACATTTTGTTTAATTTTCTAGCTACCTTTATTTTTATTAATATTACATAGATTATGTCTGAAATCTGAAACTTGTCTCCCAGTCAAATATCTACCCTTAGCCTGGGATGTGGAAGTGCCTGAGCCTGTTGAACTGGTTAGATTTGTCTCTATGTGATCTCTTCAGATGCAGACCCATATTGAAGGCCAAGGAATTCGACTGGCCCTCTAAGATATTGGTCCCCTTTCTTTCCTCTTTTTATAAAAACGTTATCTTCCATTCCTTTAAGCAGATAAGCATCTCCTCCTGGCACACTCAGCCTCCAGTTTCAAAACCTCCCCCTCTGGAGAATGTTCCATAGTGTGTGAGAAGTACTTGGTTTTATCTCAAAACTCAGAGACAGAAGTCACCCTGAATGTCTGTCTGAGACTCTTCCCCACAAAGATACTGTCACACAGATAGGCAGGCTGCTATCTCCCCAAGACACTCACACAAGTGCTAGCTTGATGCTGTCAGCCAGACAGCGATCAATCTTATTGTGGCTATTTGTGCTCTAAACTACAACTCTTGTTTTTTGGTTTGTTTTATTTCTTTCTGGTTGTTGCTTTTTATTTTGTGGTGCTATAAATTGAACAAGGGTCTCCATGTATATTGGGAAAACACTCTACCACTAGGCTATACTCCCAGCCCTCAGCTCTTCTTCAAAACTTAATTGAAAAATATTCTTAGACAGCAGATAGTAATTGATTAGTGATGTCTGCCATGAGAATGGTGTGGTCCGGGGCCACATCCTCATCTTTCCTATCCCTGGCTGAAAGTTTTTATGACAGAACCCTGATACTCACAGAACAACTGTGTTTAGTGCTTTCAACTTTCCTCTTTGACCAGAGTGTCTCCTGGACTTGTTAGAATTAGTTCTGTTGCTTACTGTGCTATTCAGGCATAGTAAATTTATTGCCTGCAGTTAGCATATGCATGTTTCTGGTGGCCTTATAGTGTTATCTCTTCTGAACCTAGGCTTCGATACTGTACACTGACACAGAGCAGCAATCTGAAACGCTCTCTTTGCCACAGGTCTGAATCCTGTTCCATCCTTCTGCCTCAGTTAAACCTTGCTGGGATCAGCAGAGCTGCCACTGAATTCCCAGAATGTTTTGATTCAATGCTGGAACTTCTTAAACACCAGCTAGACCCCCGTTCCTTCCCAGGCTATTTCTCCCTTGTGTATTCTGATTTCAATTTTCTTTCTCCTCTCTGGCAAACCTTAATATTCGCTTCTTAATTAGAGATCATGAATTTTTTTAATGCTTCCCAAAGCTTTGCCATCAAAGAGAAACCTCTAGTAGGACAGGATTAACTAGTGACCATTATTTTCACCATAATTTTCAATCATGTATGAATTTGTCAATGAGCTTGTATTCTGTAATCAAAAAATTTTTGAGGACAAAAAAACCCAGATGAGTGGTTTTCAGCCTTTTTTCCTTTAGAATGCTAAGGAATTCTGTTAAAAACTTGGGAAATAAATGAAGAACAGCTTTTTAGTTGAAGTGGTGGGAAACATACACACACAAAAGCACACAATTCATGTGTGTGTGTGTGTGTGTGTGTGTGTGTATACATGTAGGTTTCTGTGTTACTGTGTGTTTGTGGATGTATGGACTTTTTAGTGAGTGTGAGTGTGTGTGTGTGTGTGTGTAGGTACATCGCGCTGTGTTACTAGATATTCTGACTTTCTCATCTGTAGTGGAAGCAATCTTCTGGACTCTGCTCACCCGCTAGGAAATTGAGTCTGGCCTCTAACACTGCAGAGTTGGAGCCTTCGTGCTTATTCTTTGTTGCCACCCATCCATCCAGTTCCAATGTTCTGGGCGGAGATGTTGCTTTTGTTTGTCAGTCGACAGACTGTACTCTTCTGTACTCTCCACAGACTCTGCCTGCAGGCGCTGGGGATGAAGACAGAGATAACATGTCACAGGCAGGTCCTTTTCCAGGACAGCCTTTTAGATCAGATGTGAAGAAGCGACTCTGGGATGTTCTTGGCAGGGCCTCCATTCTTCTCCCAGGCCCAGCCGCAAGTGTCAGGTAGTCTTCTTTCTCCCTCCGTGAATGCCCTAGAAGGCCCTTAGTTCCAGAAGGGCCACACCCGGGCTCTCCCTAAGGCTAGTGGATCTTGTTCTGGATGATGTGGGGCACAGAAAAAAACTGAGTCATGTGTGTGCCGCAGAAGCAGAAAGAACTGTTCCCTTTGGTGCCTTCTGCCCCTACTCCCTGTATGACCCTCCTGTGGTCACCAGCTTTGTGGTGACATGTCTTCAAGCCTAAGGTTTAGAAGCCAAAATAGAACCTTTTGCAACAAGTAAGAAATTCTCTTTTGTGAATTGCTCCCTGATGACTGAGGTCTTCCAGGAGCTCAGGAGGAAGCTCTATATTCTAGAGTATGCTGTTGAAAGCCACCAAGTGGGCAGAGTTAGCTCAGTTGCTAAGAGTTCCAGTCCCAGGGCCAGACTCTCCTGAAATCTGGCTCTGCCACCTACTTTCCAGCTGTGTGGCCTTGTCCAAGTTACTAATTTGCTTACTGGCTCTTGAGGCCCTGTGTACATTTTCTCTTCTAACCACACAGTCCTACAAGGAGCCTTTTAACACTTTTTCCAGACCATAAAACTTGGGCTTACAGAGGAAATCAGTCAACATCCTATACTTAAAACTTGAGACATTGAGTCCCCAAACCTAACCCTTTGAAACTCCAAACCTCATCTGTTTTCTATTGCCCCACACTCACTCTCTCTTAAGATTTCCCTAAAAGTAGTTTGGAACAAAAGTTTGCCATTGACTTTAGGCATCTAGCATGATTGTGTATTAAAAAGAGCCCCCTTAAACCATCCCCTGGATTCTGTTGCCAGAGCAGTGTGTTTTCTGAAATTCAGGTGTCTAGCCATCCCAGACTTGCTCCCAAATGGAGAGAATCTTGCCTCAGCCAGAGTGCTCTTTAATTGGATCTCAGTGTCCCCACCTCTTTTTCCTTTCCCTCTCTCCTGGACATTTGCTCCAGGATGGACTTGAATCCACCATGTTTGCAGGTTGACCACATAAACACTGACCTTTCCTGGAAACTGCCAGAACATTCTGGAAACTGACCTCCAGAGGGAGTCACCCCAGAGACCGGCAAGTTGGGTGCGTGAGGAACTGGACAGCGCCGCAGGACCAAGATCAACAGTCTGGAGGAGACATCTCATCAACCATCATCTCTCAAGGTGACCTGCGGCTCCCTTGTCACGTGCCCCCATAGAGCATTTTGGGATTGTGTAGAGTCTCTTTCTAGAAGAAGATTCTGATACTTTCATGTGAACAGAAGGCATCACAGTCCTTGCTAGTAATATCTGCTTTTTAATGACAGCTTCCTGCCCTGGCATCTCTGGAATCTCTGGCATCTCTCTGGAGTAGCTACAGAAAATAGTGTCTTATCTTTGACTTTCTTTGTGTTTCCCCTCAGAGCTTACTGAGCCAGCTTTCCTATGCCTTGTCTTCTAATGTTTCTGCTCATCTCTCAGGAGCCCATGCTTTTCTTAACCAGTTCTTTCTATCTTTTTCTTAATAAAAAACAAAGTTTGATTTCTACAGTTGTCCTATCCTCTTAAAGAGCACTGAACTGGCCCACCTTCATCTCCTCTTAGCAGCTCTCTTGATCTTCTTATCAAGTATGTGTTTACAATAAAAGTGGTTACACAGCCTCCTATTGCCTCGCAGAGTCCCAGCTCTGACAGTTCCCCTTATGTTCTACTTGTGCCACCCCTGTGTCCCTCTGGCATGCCCTTGTAGCTAAAGCAGTTCAGTCTCCGGGGAAGAGTGGGTTGAGCTGACACAGTCCCTATGCCTTTAGGAGTTTACAGTCTGTTGACTTGGCTTCTCCTCTGAGGATTGCACCCTTGGGACATCAGGGTCTAAAGGTAGCCATTTGATGCTGATTCTCTTGGTTTCCAGAGCAGTCATTTGGGGTTTTGAAAATGTATTTTCCTCTGTGCTCTTTGCAGTTATTCACCTCTCATCCAATCAGTAACGTTTTACAGATGATCTGCTTTGTGTCATATAGTCACACATGGCCCTTCCCCCCCTTGAAGTCTATGCTTTAGTGGGAAAGAAAGCTAAGCTAATCACCCTAAACTCTGTAAAATTCCAGCGATGAAGTCTTTAAAGAAGAGGCACCAAGGTCTATGAAAGCCGGAAGGGCTATGCTCTTGGGAAAGTAGTTTCCAAAGGGTCACCTCAGATTAGCAGCCTCAATACCCAGGGTGGACTTCGTAGAAATACAGCCGCAGTCATCATCCCATTGGATTAGAAACTGGGAGGGGACATCACCTACCATTTGAAGTGGGGGCATTACATTGTTTTTAAAGATTTCTTAAGTTATTTTTAAGTTAGCATACAAAGTAATGTGCTTCCTTATGACATTTCCCTACATATTTGTCATATTTTTTGGGGGGGGTGGCTTTTTGAGACAGGGTCTCCCTGTAGCCCCAGCTGGCCTGGAACTCACTACGTAGACCAGGCTGGCCTTGATCTCACAGGGATCTGCCTGCCTCTGTTGGGATTAAAGGGGTGTGCCACCACTCCTGGCTCATTTTATTCTTATTCATCCCTTTCCCCCCAACCCTACCCCTTCTCCTTTGCACCCCTCTAGCTAGTCTTCTTCCGGCCCCAAATAGCAACCCCTTCTGCTTTCATATTACCTGCTCTTTCCCTCCCTCTCCCTCCCTCAACTTTTGTTTCTCCCCTCTCACAGTCCCTTTTCAACTTTAATGGACACACACACACACACACACACACACACACACACACATTTTTTAATCTAGATTTTGAATATGCAAGAAAACTTTTCAGTCTTTTCTTTCTGCATCTGGCTTATTTCACATAATGTAATGATTTCCAGTTCCATCTATTTTCCTGAAAATGTCATGAATTTATTTTTCTTCACAGCTGAGTTTGTGTAATTTTCTTGTATCTATTTGTCTGATGATGGACATTTAGACTGATTCCATTTCTTAGCTATTGTTAATTGTACCTCTGGGGGATGTTGACTTAAGAGTCCTTCGGGTATAAACCCAGGAGTGGTATAGCTGGGTCATATGATAGCTCTATTTTTTATTTAAGATTTTATTTATTGTTATGTTATGTATATGAGTGTTTCACTTGCATGCATATAAATGCAACCCATAGAGAACCCATAGAAGCCAGAAAAAGGTGTCAGACCCCCTGGAATTGGAGTTAAGGATAGACGCTAGCTGTCACGGGGGTCCTGGGAACTGAATCCAGGTCCTCTGGAAGTAGAGTAAGTGCTCTTAACTGCTGAGCCACCTGTCTAGCTCCTGAGTGCCATTTTTAATTTTTTGAGAAACTTCCCGATTTCTATAGTACCTGTACCAGTTCATATTCCCACTAGCAGTGAACAATTGCTCTTCTTTCCCCACATCCTCACCACCATTTGTTGTCATTTGTTTTCTTGATGATAGCCATTCTGACTGGAGTGAAATGGAATCTCAAAGCAGTTTTGATTTGCATTTCTGTGGATATTGAACACTTTTTCAAATGTTTTTGCCATTTGTATTTTTTTTTTTTCTTTTGAGAACTGTCTATTCAGTTCATTAGCTAGTTTGTTGATTGGATGATTGGAGGAGTGGGGCTCTAGCATCTCTGTTTCCACACATCCCCAGGAGACTGTGTTAGACATTCATGTCGGAGTCTGTTTGCTCCAGGATATCAGGGAAATCTTCTCTCTGGTGAACTGTCTTCTGAGTTACAAGGAAAGTAGGTCATGGAGGTAGGGGAAGGAAATATTTCTTTTAAAAAATATTTTATTTATTATTTTTATTTTATGTGTATGCATGTATTGCCTGCATGTAGTAAGTACATCCATGTCGTGCAATGCCCAGGGAGGACAGAAGAGGCTGCCGGATCCCCTGGAACTGGAGTTACAGTTGATCATTGCTATGGGGGTGCTAAGATTTGAACCCAGGTCTTCTGGAAAAACAACCAGCGTTCTTAACCACTGAGCCATCTCTCCAGCCTGGGAAGGAAATATTTCAAACAGAAAGAATGGCCTGTGTACCCTGTGGCTGAACCAGGGAACTTTGGAAGTCATGAGGGAAAATCCATGCAAGATAAGAATGTACCAGGTGAATCTGGACAGGTGGACAGGGGCCAGAACTTGCAGGTCATGGATGCATCATCAAAAATTAACAAGGGGAAGCTTCTGGAATGCTTTCTAAAGGGGGTGACACCATACTATTTGCTTTTATTTAAAGGCTAAATCTGGGTACCTCATAGAAAAAATGTTGACGAGCAAGAATAGACCATTTAGAGGCCATTGCAGGGTTTTAGGAAAGATGGTGACAACTCAGATGGTGTCTGGAATGGAGGGTAGAGACAGAAGAACACACATCCCAAGAGTCCTAAGCAAAATCTACAGGTATTGGTCATCCATTGGAAAGCCAGGGATGACTTTAAAGTTCTGAGTTTACAGGCAAGACAGAAGATACTGTCACCAGTTTCAGCATGACAAAGCCTTGTTGAATCTGAAGTGCTTTTGAGCTACCCAAGTGCAGACAGTAACTAGGTCATAGAAAGTGGATTCTGTTTTTCAGAAGAGAAGTCAGGGCTGGAAATTTACATTGTGGATCATTACCATCGGAGTGGCCCTTGACACTGTGGGCCACTCAGGTCGCCTCAGGAGAAAGAATGTAACAAGGGAAAGCAAACCAGTGGTGCTTACAGGGGAATTTATTGCTCAAGTCCAGTGGTTGGTGGAGGAATATTAGACACATTTAGAGGAAAGAGCCAGAGAAGAAACCAAGAGACCAAGGCATCCCAAAGACCAAAAGAAGAGAGTTATAGGAAGGAGCGCCCATCAGTGGGGAGGAGAGGGAGTGAGGCAAGGAGGCTGAGGGACATCTGTCACACTGAGTGATGCAAAGGCCACTTGTGACTTTAGCACAAAAATGGCAGAAGCCAGAATGAGGGAAATTAAGGTGTGACAGAAAGTCAAGATATGAGGTGAGGGGCTAGAGAGATGGCTCAGTGGTTAAGAACACTGGTTGTTCTTGCAGAAGACCCGGGTTCAAATCACAGCACCCACATGGCAGCTAACAACTGTCTGTAACTCCAGTCCCAGGGGATCTGACAGCCTCTTCTGACCTCCGTGGGCATTGCCCGACAGGGGTGCACTTACCTACATGCAGGCAATACACGCATACACATAAAATAAAAAAATAATAAATATTTATTTTTAAAGATATGAGGGGAGTGGGTGTGGGCAGCTCTCTAGAAATGGGCATGAGCTGAGGGGAGATGCAGAGTCAGGCACATTGTTCTAATTGTCTCAAATGGAAAGAAGGTGATTCTTCATGCTGAAGCCTAAGGAGTTGGTTGAAAGAGGGAGGTTAAGGAATGCAGAGCTGTGATCATCCAAGGTTCCTGGGGGCCAAGATCCTAAACACAGACCAGCAGGTGCAGAGCCCATTTACTCTGGTAGTTCCTGCTCCTGCAGGGACTTTTCTAAACCTCTGTTAGTGACCTGTCCAGGGCCTGGCCACCGGCCTGGAATGCCTGCCCTCCTCCCCATCGTGGTACCGTTCCTCCCTCCTGTCTGGTCTGCCCTGCACACTCCTCTCCTGCAGCACTGACTGTTTTCTCAGCTTTGTTCACCCACTGTTAAGTTATTAACTTGTCAGGGTCTAGACTCCCCGCTTCCTTTCCCTCTTTGATCTGGTTGCTGGCTCCCTTCCTGTTCACAGCATGGAAAGTCAGCATTTAGAAGGCCAGGGTCACTCTGCAGGTCAGTGCTAGCAGGCATACAGAATTATGAGCATTATAGTTTGATACAAAATTTAGAAAACTTCTTAAAGACATTGCTACCACTGAAAAGGGAATAATAAACATTCCCAGCTCTCTACTGTCCCAGATGTGAACTTAAACTAGATTTTAAGCTGTCATTTCCAAGAGGGATTTGTTTTAAAAGACCACCTTTAAACATTAAAAATCAGCAGTAATTCTTTGAGAATTTCACTCATGCACGTAATTTACTTTGATCACATTCACACCCACCCCTCCCACTAGTTCCTCCTAGGTCCACCCCCAGCTCCCCAGCCCCCTCCGAACTTCATGTCCTCTTTTGAGACTTACCTTAAAGCAGAGTAGTACAAGTTGTTTTAATACATGCCTTGCCACTGAGGCCTACCAATTTTGTCTAAAATTCTTAGATTTGCAGCAGTCCTATAAAGGGAATTGAATAGCTTTATCATTACCTAGAACTTCCGAAGTCACAAATTAAGACTGAGACATAACCCTTTACCCATGTCCTACGGATTCTTAGATGAGAGTAGGGAAAGGGTACCTTGTTTTGCGTCAGTCATGAGCAGACAGATCTTTTACATATGTTGCCATGTTTATTCCTTGAGATCCACAGTTTTACAAATTGAGAAAGCAGAGCTCAGAACTATGTAGTCATTTCCCAAAGCTCATCCTTTACCAGGCCAGTACAAAGTGCTAGTTTTGTGGTCATACACAGATGAGCAGTAGTCACTGTTGTGATAGCAATATAGGTTCAAATAGGAAATTCAAAATGTTGTAACAATAGTATAAGTTTAGTTTATATTGTATATTCAAAATGTTGTAACAGTAATATAAGTTTACTATGTCTAATCTAAACATTTGAAATCCAAAATCCAAAAGTTTGTGAGTGCCAACATGATCCTGTAGGTGGAAACTTCCACACTTGACCACATGTGATGAATGGGTCACAGTCAAAAGGCAAGCGCACTGAAAACATCGTACAACACCATCTTCGGGCTAAGTGTGTGCTGGCTATAAATAAAACAAATGAATCCCATGTTTAGACTGGCTCTCAGTCCCATAGTATCTCAGTATGCACATGCAAACAACATCCAATCTTTTTAAAAAAATCTGATATCCGCAGCACTTCTGGTCCCACACTCAGGGATATTTGGCCTGGAATACGAGCAGCAGTAGCTGATATGTTGCACCTTCAGTGTGTGAGGAACCTTCACCTCTGCCATGTCATTTAATCCCTATGATTGTGTTGCGAATACTGGTGCTTCACAAAAGAGGGACTAGTCTGAAAGACACTAAGCTATTTGTCCACTCGCAGTAGCTGTGATTCAGCCCAGTTTCATCTGATTCTAACCTTTTGCTCTTTATTAAATCATCCTGTTTGTCAAAGTTAAAATGACTCTGATCCCCAAAACACAGTCGAAGACAGGGCAGATGTGGGGTTTTTTTCCTCCTGAAGTTATTGAGTATCCAGCTCCCTCTGTCATTCCTCGTGAGTCAGAATACTGACTGCTTATTAAATCTTCACTCCTGGTCAGCTTTGTGGGGAGGATAGAAACACTAGGCATTTCTTCAGGCCTCTAAGTTTGGGTAGGCAACTTCCTCATCCATGTAGCAGCTTCCCTGTCAAGAGCCACCCAGGCCTCAAAAGTAGCCAAAAAACCCATGAGCAGAGCCAGAATTCAAAAGCACAGGTTGTTGAGCTAGCTCCTTCACCTTATCTACACATAACCCCAACAGTCTCTGGTTAAGGTCAGTCCACAGCCGCAAAATAATAGAAGTGAGTATAGAAGCAGAGCTGTGACCAGAGATAGCAATAAGGAAACAAACAAAAGATGATAAGAAACTGGAACCAGAGGCCAGAAGTGCAGGCAGCCAAAGTTAATTTGGTGTCAAACACCGTGTATCCTCCATAACAACGTCACAGCAAAGTATTCATTTCTTGTTTTTCCTTATGATATAGTCACTAATTGTTCATGAAGAGTTAGTGTTCTGTCATGGTTGGGTTCTCCCATTTAGGAGGGGAGTGATGATGTAGCAGAATTTATTTAGAAAATGGAAAAGAGCTCCACGTCCTAAAAAAGATGTACTAGCACTTCATCTACCTTAAAATCCAGCCAGCCAAGAAAGATTTCCTAGGATCCTCTTGGTATTTCTCTTTGTAGTCTCCAAGCACAGTACCAACATATATATGGCATGTAAAGCATCTCTAATCCAAAATCTGACATATTCCAAAATCCCCAACTTTTTGAGTTATGATGTGATTGCCAAAATTCAGTACCATGAAGCTTTGTTTCATGTACAACATTATTTAAAAATATTGCATAAAATTACCTTCAGGCTGTATGTATAAGGTGTAAATGAGACACATGAACCCCATGTTGAAGGTTGGGTCCCATTCCCATGAAATTTCCCTATATATATGCAAATATTCCAAAATCTAAAAAGAAACCTGAAATCTTACACTTCTGGTCCCAAGCATTCAGACAACTACTCAGCCTCCACATACCCATGAGGCAGTAACGGTCTCTAATGGCTCCTTTCCTGGAGTTTGGAAGAGCCCAGTTTTGCTGTGGTCCCTTAGGAAATTCCTGGGTATTTTCCAGGATGACTGTATGAAGAAGAAAATGGGTAATTACAACCTTTGACAGTTCAGCGTTTATTCTGTTTTTATATATGATTAAATAGTATGATGCCCAGCCTCCTTTCAAAAAATAAAATATGCCCAACTACCTGACAGTTGCTTTTATTAAGCTTGTGGTTATCCTTATCAATATTGAATGCCACCAGTTGTTGAGAAGATTTTTTAAAAAACCTTCTGCTCCTGAGATACATTTGAAACTCTCTAGCTAGAACCAGCCTGAGTGATTTTACCAGCTCTCTCCAAATAAGTCAAGGGCCCAGCTGTTCTCTGTGGATTTTGTGCTTCTTCCCCACTCCACACACTACCAGCCCAACTAGAAAAGGCGGAGCCCTAAACCAGTCTGTGCTGCCCACAGTCAGGCAGTGCATTTCAGACTCACAAGGAAGCTGGAAGATACATGTGTTCTGGGTCATGGAAAGCAGAGGCCAGGTCTATGTGCCTGCTCTGAGCTCCTGGCCTGCCTTCCCCCTGAGCTGGTTGTTTCACAGGTCACAGCTGTTTTGAAAAGGCAGACTCACTGGCCTGCTTAATACGTACAGTTTCTGCATGAAGGCCCACATCTCTCCCCCAGCAGCCCCAGAACATAGCTGGGGAAGGAGGCCAAAGCTCTTCCCCAGGCCGCAGGGATTTCTGGCCCCAGCCCCTGGTGGAATTAGCAGAAGTTTTCTATAAATCCTGGAGGCATCTATCAACAATCAGAGCCAGGCTGTCTTTTTGAAAGAAGTTAACCCCTTGTTGGGAATTATCTAATCAGCGCTGAACCAGCCAGTGAAGGGCAGGGTCAGTAGAAGCAGGGTACTGGGTAGGCTGGGTTTCCAGCTGCGGGTTGTCTGATGTCTGAGCTGTCTGTTTGCTTCCCCCTTAGCTATCTTCCAGATCATACAGAGCATAAGGATGGGCATGTAAGAAGACCTGGGCAGTGGATGCTGCTGCCCTCTCGCTGGCAGGTGGAGGACCACGGAGGCCTTCAGTGGGTCTGTGGGAAGCAAACAAGCCAAGTGCAATAGAAAGGAGATCCCCTTTGCTCCCTCCCACTCCATGGTGGAGGCCAAACCAAATTGTCTTCTCACAGGGCGTCTCCGTGCATCTGTGTCCTCCAGCAGAAAGGACTCTGCTCTTCTGTTGACGGATTCGAAGCCACGTAGGGGGTCTTCAGCAGTGCCCTCTGTCTTCCTCCCTCGAGTTTCACTGTGGTGTGCATGTGGCCCTCTGAGTGACTGCCCATTTACATCCTCCCAATACAATCTCTTCTCTGTCAGGAATTGGTTTTACAAATAAATGTCTTCATTCAACCTTATACTGTGTGTGAGTTACAGAGAGAAAAGTAAAGAAAACAGCAGAAGAGCATAAGAAAGGTGGGGCAGGTGGGAACTGGGTGATAGAACTTGGAAAGGAGCCGGGCATCCATGCGTGGGGAACCAGTTAGGTTTATTGGGTTCCGGCCAGACCCTTGACTTCTTTGCCTGAGTAAAGCTATAAGCAGTTTGAATGGTCTTGCATTTGCCACACAGTTGACTTGTAAAACCTGTGCACAGGTATGCATATGTATATATGGATTTGTATATGCATTTATCTCTTGTTCTGATTTTGTTGTTCTCTTTTTCAGTCCTAAAAGGTGCCTATAATGTGTGTTATGGTCTGATTAGCCATTATCTCCCTGTGGTCTACCTGAAAGCTGCACAGAACAGATGTTCCAGGCCTCTTGGCGAAAACCAACGTACCCCAGGGCCCAGCAAGTGTTTACAGTACTCTGGGTAGGCAGCAGGCAGGATGGGGAGCCCTCTGCTCTCTGCCAGCCTTCCCACAGCCTCTCAAAGCATGATGTCACAGAAGGAAGTCACAGGATCAACCCCAGAGATCTCAAGCAAGATTAAGGACAGCCACATGCAGCTTTAAGCACGCCTGTAGTTATTTAATTCCATCTTTGAATTGGCATTTTTTTTCATTTCTTAACATTGTGAAGGTTTTAAAAAGGGAAGTGTCAGGACTGGTTAGGGCCTAATTAAGTTAAGTGGTACATTTCAAATTAGTCACTAGTCTCACCTGGACCTCTGGTGATATTCCTGAAGGCTCCTTGTCCTCCTACCTTCTGAGTTCCCCCTCCCAAAGCACCCCTCTCTCCTCCATCCTGCTTCCTACCCCACCAAAGAGGCAATACAACTGCCCCCAACCAGCAACCCCAGGGACAGTTTGCCACCTGATGTTAGGGCCAGCAGCCCAGCTACCTACCAAGAAGTGGAGGAAGAGGGTTCCACATCCCAGGCTGCCTAGCCTGATTACGCCCTTGGACTCTGATGGTACCTGTGGTCTTTGTCTTTCTCCACCGATGCCTTTATTAAAAGTGTACCTACCGCCAGCGTGGTAGTGCACGCCTTTAATCCCAGCACTCAGGAGGCAGAGTAGGCAGATCTCTATGAGTTCAAGGCCAGCCTGGTCTACATAGTGAGTTCCAGGATGGCTGGGGCTACAGAGAAACTCTGTCTCAAAAAAAAAAAAAAAAAAAAAAAAAAGGTGCACCTACCACACACTGATGAAAGCTGTCACTGGACCAGGGCTTTATGTCTCAGTCTTTACCCAGCAGGGTTTCCTTTTTCTTCATTTGAACTTCCCCCTGTCAAGGAAAAGGAGGCTGAACCTCTACCAAGACCAGCTCCAGAGAAACCCAGCTCGACCCCAGGTGACAGGGGTGGTAGGCTGATCGGTTATCATACATAAAGCTGCCCTGATTGATTCCTGTCTCCCCCCACCCCTGCCACTGCCTCTATTCAATCACCCACACATTGGTTTTCTATTACTTTCCAGGTTGCCCCCTGGAAGTGCTTGCACATGGCATGTAACAGTTACCTTCCCTCTCCCTGGTAACTCCTCTTATCAGTCCCGTGCAAGCAGAGACGAGAGCTGCCACGAATAAAAGGTCGCTACTGACTCACACTGCACAGCAGAGAATCCAGACATTTCTACCACAGTGCATAGTAAGAACTAGGCAGCAGCTCAACATATAGCTTACCCAAGCACAAGTTGTACAAATGGCTACATACTCTCACCACACAGAATACTCTGATTTTGTCAACACTGTTTAATTTTTTTAAATGCTAGTTGCATCTTTTACAATTAATGTTATAGCCCCACAATGGGTTCAACCCACAGCCTTGAAAAAAGTTGGACTTCAGGGGAAATCAAAGCCCTTAATAGGGAGACAAATGAACTGGGCTCCTTGAGAAGGAATGCTGGAATCCTATTTTGCATCCTAGTAAGAGTCTAAGGTGGCATCTCAATCATAGTCCAGAGCTCTGGCACCTAATACAGCCTCTCTGGAGGTTAAAGGTGCATTGTCAGATCATGCAGAAAACAAGTGATACGTGAGCCTCTGAATCCAGCACCTCCCTGAACCCACTGCAACACTGAAATGAAACAACTTGATCAAAGTCAAGAGGCTACCGAGTGTTTATGACTTAAAAGAGCACAGGGGCCTTTTATTAATCTCAGATCAAGTGAAATAGTATTGATTTCATTATTAAAAAAGTAAGCTGTAACCCAGCAACAAGGGAAGCTCAGTGGCTTTGCATGATAGTGCTCATCTGTCTCTCACACAATCACACAAGTCTGATGCAGGCTTTCGAGGGCTTTCCTCCACTGACTCAGTACCCAGGCATGGCTGCCATCACAACAGAAGTTATTTTAACATAGGAAGAGTGGAGGCAGGGGGCCACAGATCTTACCCTGGCCTAGAAGTGACACCTTACCTCTAGTCACCATTAGACACCAACTAGTCCATGATCTAGTCGCTCTGCAAGGAAGCTGGGATCATCCATGTGCACATGACTATTTTGTGAGCTCTGTTTCTGGAATCTTCTATTCATTGTACTCTTTGTAAGCTGTGTGATTATAGGGTTGGGTTAATTGAGGTCAGCTTTCTTGGGTACCGAGTCTTCCATGCTCCTTTGGGTTCTGGAGCTATGCCCCGGTGCACAGCTCTCGAATGGTGATGTCAGGCTTTCTGTGTGCCACTGGTAGGTGGTCATGTGGTTTAGCACCAAAATCATGATACTTTTAAGCACAAAAAGGAATATTATTGATTCTGATCAGACACCAAAATAACTAAACTAGGACTGTCCTGGGCATACCAAGCTACACACTGATGCACAAACCCTCATCTCAAGGCACACTGGATTAAGCCAGGTTTAGGACAACCTAACCAATGTTATGCAGATGAAAACCAAACAAGCAGAGACTCAAACTACCAGCCTTCTCCATTTGCATGCTTGGCCATGACACCAGCCTAGGAAAGGACACTATCCTGAGACAGAAGAGTGAGGAGCAAGTTTCTATTGTGTTTTGTACTGCTCTGCCTAAGACAGAGAATAGTGCCTGAAGTTCAGTGACTATCCACCAAACAAATGACTAGCCCTTCGGTGAGTACACAGTGTTGGCAAAGATCAAGCCATAAAAGGCAGAAGAGAATTACAGAAACAGCCCACAACTGGAAGCCTGGGCCCTGGGTTCCTGCCTATCACTTCGTTCCCTGGACCTCACCATGCTCATGAGTATGTCTGAAGATGTCCTGGCCTTCTCAGGGCTGTTGTGGGGAGCAAATGACACAATATATGCAACACTACTTTTTAAAAACTGTAAATGCTATACAAATTATACATAGAGATATAATTATTTACATATAATTGCATGTATAATCATTGCTGACAATCCTATAATAATCTTATAATAATTGCTACTCAGGATCATCTCTGTGGAACTATATAGAGAAAACATTGCTTCATGTTCAACCTCCTGTCCAATCTTAGGACATGCTCTCAACAGCAGGTATGCCCAAAAGAGTGAGTGTGGATGGGTCTACACCTCATCCCAACTAATGGAGAAAGAATTTAGGTAGATGCACTATTGTCAGTCACATGGCTTCCTGTGTTGGTATTGTTATTTATGCTAATTTATGTCTAGGCAAATCTCAAAAACAAGTCTGGGCTGCAGAAGACCAAGCGTACTTAGGAAGCTGCCCAGCAGCTCTTCATTCTTTGTTATTGTCAGGCCTCCTAATAAGTTATTCCTGAGAGGAACAGAAGGAGACTGAAAATGGAAGGGGGAAGTGAGTAGAGGAGAGAAGGGAGGATGGATGGTGTAGGGTAATAAAAAATAGGAAAAAAGAAGGTGGCATCCTAGGGCTCTAATGCACAGTATAGAGACCAGAGTTAATGTGCTGTATACTGGAAATGTGTGGAAATATGTTCACACACACACACACACACACACACACACAGTAATTAAGCAAGGTGATGCATGTGTTAACTAATATGATTCTCATTGCATTCTATAATATGTACAGTATCAAATCATTAATGTATACATGTTTTTTATTTTTATTTTTAGCATTTGAGACAGGGTCTCATGTAGCCAGGTTGGCCTTAGACTTGCTGTAGCAGAGGTTGACCTTAAATTCCTGATCCTCCTGTCTCCTCTGCCCAAGTGCTAGGATTGTAGGCATATGCCAACCACCACATGGTGATTTTTTGGGACAGGATCTCACTGTGTAAACCCACCTGGATTGGATCTCATTGTGTAAACCCAGCTGGCTTAGAGCTGCCTAGGTAGATCCGGGGTCACTTCAAACTTGCAACTCTCCTCCTGGCTCTGCCTTTCCTAGTGCTGGGATCACAGCCGTGTGCTGCCACACTGTTTTTTATGTAGTGCTGGGGATCAAACCCAGGGCTTTATGCATGGTAGTCAAAAACTTACCAACTGAGTGAAATCTTCAGCCCTTTTTTAAAAATTGTATTTCAATACAGCTGGAAAAAAAAGAAGGACGAAATAAAGGAGGGAAAGAACAGAGGACAGAAGGAAAGAGAGAAGAGAGAGGGGATGTTCTGGCATCTAAATAGTTACCTTATCATTCATAAGAAATCACCAGAAACAATTTGTCTCAGCCGGGTGCAGGCCTGGCATATATACCTGCTGTCCTCTCAGTCTCCACTCTGGGAAACACACCTCTGGGGGAAATTATTTTAGGAAGATGGTAGAGATACTTCCAGTTCAAGTTAGGTATATTGGCACACCTGTAACCACAGAATGCAGGAGGTCGAAGCGGGAGGGTCTCATGTTTGAACACAACCTGGGTTATATAGTGAGACCCTATCTCAAAAATCAAAAAGAAAGAAAAGAAGGGAGGGACGGAGGGAGGAAGGGAGGAAGGGAGGGAGGAGGAGGAAAAAGAAACTGTCCCTTTGTATGAGAAAGGACTTATTTTCCCTTTTAGTTCATCTGGAACAATATGCCTCTCTCTCTCTCTCT